CATCAATTTAAAAAGCTTCCGATTTTGAAGCATTTCAGATTTTCGGATTAGGGATACTCGACCTGTACGCAATACATGTTATGTAGATATTACATATCTGGGAGATAAGAAACGTACTGACCCCACATCACCCCTGCAGGAGGAGTATCAGGGCGAGGGGATCACGTGGCACAACATCGGCTACACAGACAATGTCGGCTGCATCCATCTCATCAGCAAGAAGCCCACGGGCCTCTTCTACCTGCTGGACGAGGAGAGCAAGTGAGTGTCCACACCCCGTCCCTCCCGGCACATCTGCACATGGGCACTGGGTCAGGTTCTGCAGCCCCCAGAGCCTTACCCCAAATCCAGACTTTCCCAAAAACTCCTTTTTATTTTTGAGACAGGGTCTCACTCTGTCACCCAGGCTGGAGTGTAGTGGTGCAATCATAGCTCACTGCAGCCTCGACCTCCTGGGCTCAAGTGATCCCCCGACGTGAGCCTCTCCAGTAGTTGCGACTACAGGGTCACACCACCATGCCCGGCTAATTTTTCTATTTCTTTGTAGCAACAGGGTTTCGTCACGTTGTCCAGGCTGGTCTCGAACTCTTGAGCTCAAGGGATCCTCCCGCCTCAGCATCCCAGAGTACTGGGATTACAGGCGTGTGCCACCACGCCAGGCCTTGTCCAGAGAACTTGTGTCTGTTCAATTTCACTTGACCACAAAACCCAAGCTTGTGTGTGCAAAATGCACAAACACCTCACTGTGAAAACATCAACACGTGTGATTAATTTGTACACTTGAGGCACATCCACCAGGAGTTTTCAGCAAAGGATTATGGGCCTGTGTCTAGAAAATAGAGATGGGGACCGGGCATGGTGGGGCATACCTGTGGCCCTAGCTACTCAGGAGGCTGAGGCAGGAGGATCCCTTGAGCCTAGGAGGTCGAGGCTGCAGTGAGCTGTGATCGTGTCACTGCACTCCAGCCTGAGCGATGGAGCAAGAGACAGGATTGGTAAGTTCTTGCAAAGGGCAGTACAGTGTGTGGAACTGGGACCCAGATGCTGCCGGGCTCTGAACTCACTTCTGAGCCTTCCACACTCATCCCCGCAGTCCACAGGGCACCGTGAAGGCAGACAGGGAGGTCAATAAGGCGCTTCATGCTGGGTCACCCAGTTGTAGTCACTGAAATCACGTGACATGCACTGAACTACTTTCCTGTGGCTCCCCTAAGGAATCACTACAAGCCAGGTGGGCTCTTGAGTCCAGGAGTTTAAGACCAGCCTGGGCAACATAGAAAGAGTCCATCTTGGCCGGGCACAGTGGCTCACGCCTGTAATCCCAGCACTTTGAGAGGCCGAGGCAGGCAGATCACCTGAGGTCAGGAGTTGGGAGACCAGCCTGGCCAACATGGTGAAACCTCGTCTCTACTGAAAATACAAAAATTAGCCAGGCATGGTGGCGGATACCTGTAATCCCAGCTACTCGGGAGGCTGAGAC